CTTGCCGCAACTGTTCGACGCCGATCGCACGTCCTGCTCCGTCCTGGGTCCCTCAGGGAGTGGCTGGAGCTTCTGGGCGCGAAGCGACGGCTTCGCGCTGCGATGCGCTGCCCGAGGGCACGACGTGTCCATCCTGGGGCATCGCTCGAGTTGGCACGCCAGCACGATCAGGGGCGCGCGACGTGCCGCCCAGCTGGATGCAAAGGTGGACTCGGCCGGGAGGCCACGGGGTTCCGCGCAGACGGCGGCTCGGCCCGAGCGGCCGGCCCCCCGCGGGCCCTGCAGGGCCGGAGTGGAGTCGAGCCGGCCCGTGGCCCTGGAGGTGGCCTTGCAGAGTGCCGGAGCACGGGTTGGGAAGGCCCCCGAAGCAGGTACAGTCGGGGCCCTGAAGAAGGAACCCTTTTGGTTGGGGAGGGGCTCCGCGTTCCTTCAGTGTTTCACAGCTTGCCTCAGGTTTTCCTTACGTCTTCGATGGGAAATCGAAGTTTGACTTATGGTAAAAAGGGGCCTCGTTCCTTATTTAGGGTTCCTTAGGTCAACGCCCCGACTGTGGCAGCGCAGCTCTGCAAAGCTGGTGGAGCCGGGGTTGCGCTGAGCCGGGTCGGTCCACGCCCGCTGCACTGGATGGAATTGGCGTGGGCGAGGGTTGGCTGCGCGTGGGTTTCCCAGCGCTCGGCCCCAGTTCGAGCAGGCACGCCGCGTCCCTCCCGCGCGCTCCGCACGAGGGCCGTCTCTCTCGGGCACCGGGGCCGATCAAGAGGCGACCTGGGAACGAAAAGCCAGCCCCCGAAAGGGTGTCGAGCGTTCCAGGGACCGCGTGTTGAAAAAGCAGGGCACCAGAAGTCTGGGTGGGGTGCACGGAAAAAAACACGATTGGCAATGCAGGTTGCCCCGTTTCGCCCCCCCGCCCGCCCCCCCCCCCGAGCCCACACCAGGTCGACCCACCCCGCAGAGAGAGAGAGAGAGAAAGAAAGAAAGAGATGGAGATTTGGAGATTTGGAGGGACGGGGATTGGGATCGGGAGCCCTGGTCTTGATCAGCCACGCGCAGAAGGGGGTAGGGGCAGGGAGCAAGGCTTCTTAGAAGGAGGCTGCTTCTCGGAAGGCGCGGGCCTTGTCTGTAGATGTAGGGCCAGCGCCGCCTGAGAAGCAGCCTCTTTCTCAGAAGCCTTCCCCCCTCCTGCTACCCACTTGTGCGCGCCACGAACTTGATCTCTCACGATGCCGTGATCTTCCGCGACGTCGGACCTCGCGGACCCTCTTGTCATGCCGCAGCAAGGGTGCCCCACCTCTCCGGCGGCGCGCAGAAGGGACTGCTCGAGGGGGGGGCGGCCTTCTGTGAAGGCATGGGGGATTCGTGGATGGCCCCCCGCTGGCTTCTCAGAAGCCTTCTTGGAGGCTTCCGATCGTCTCTTCTCAGACGGGCACACCCCTCCGTCCCACCCGCCTTGGCGCGCCGCCAAGTGAGCAACGCCCAGAGGCCGGCTGCGCCAACATCGGCGCGCGAGTTGCCCGCGTAAGGTCGCGCGCGGGCGCCCTTCTCGCGCGGTGTGCTGCGCTGGAGGCTTGCGTAACCCACCACGGAAGGCCGCCGCGTCCTCGTGAGGCAAGACACCCTCACCCTCGTCGCTCAGGTCGGGGCGCGGCAGGGATGCTCCCCCACCACCTTCTTTGGCGTCCGCAGCCGGGCCTGGCCCAAGGCCCGACGCGCGCGCGCGCGCGCCCAGAGGGCATGGGCCTGGCGGCAGGGCTGTGCCGCCGCTCCGCGGCAGAGGCGGCCGCGGCCGGCGGCGACGGTCTGCGGCGCGACGCCAGCAGGCCCGCGGCCACGGGCAGCTCCCGGCAGGCGATGGCGGCGCCCCTGGCGGCGAAAGCCCGGGAGGAGCTGCGGCAGGCGGGCGCCAGGCCCAACGCGCCGCAGTACCACGACACGCCGCTGCTCACCGTGGGGAAGGAGGTGCTGGTGCACGCGCGGTCTGGCTCCTGCCGCCCCGCCCTCATCGAGTGCATCAACGAGTCGGACGGGACGGTGGACATCTCGTACCAGGACGGCGAGGAGGAGGAGGACGCGGTGCCCGTGGGCGCCCTGAGGCCTCTGCACGCCGCCCCCGCGGCGGCCAGCGCCGGCAACGCAGGTGGTCGGCAGCCGCCGAAGCAGGCCAGCGCCGAGGAGAGGCGGCGGCTGGGCATCAGGCCCAACGCCCCTGCCTATGGCGACACGCCGCTGCTCTCTGTCGGCAAGCAGGTGCGGGTATCGAGGGGCGAGCTCTTCCGCCGAGCCACCATCGAGTGCGTCAACGAGGCCGAGGGCACGATCGACGTGGCTTACCTGCCGCAGGAGGAGGTGTGGCCCGGGGCGGCCCCGCGCAGGGCCGAGGAGGAGGAGGAGGACACGGTGCCAGCCGAGTCGGCGAGGCCTCTGGAGGACTTTGAGGTGCGGAGGGAGGCCGACTGGCAAGACGCGCTGCGGCGCGACTTTTACGGCACGCTGTCCTCGCTAAAGGAGGGGGCGAATTCGCTCTTCAAGTTGCGCGACTACGACGCAGCTGTGGCCTATTACAGCGCCGCGATCAGCGAGCTTCAGGACGTCGAGGCCGCCGGCCTCGGCAGGGCGCTCCTCATCCAGGGGGGGAGCTTCGTCCTGGGCACCGTGAGGAGCTTCGACGCCCGCGGGCGCCAAGCCGTTGTCGTGACCGACGCCCCCGGCGCAGGCGGGCAGCCCACGGCACAGTCGTTCACGCTGGCCGCGCGCACGCTGATCGCTGTGCACGACGGGCACCTGCAGTTGCAGGGCAGCCTGTACATGAACCGCGCGCGCAGCCTGGCGCAGCAGGGCCGCAACCGGGAGGCGGCGCAGGACCTGTCGGTGGTGATCGGCCTGTGGGCCGCTTGCGACGACGAGTCGGAGCGGCGGGAGCAGCTGCTCAAGGCGCACTGCTTGCGGGCCAAGACGCGGCTGGCCCGCATGAGGGTCGGGCCCGCGCGGGAGGACGTGGCGGCCGCTTGGGCACTGGGCCCGCCCGAGGCCACCGCCGGCCTGCTGCGGCAGCTGGAGCGCGACGTGGCGGCGGCGGAGAAGGAGAAGCTCCGCAGCAACAGGCGCATAGCCAAGGATCGGCCGCACGCAGGAGTGGCCCGTCGCCGCAGTGGCCTTCAAGGTGCGCGGCTCTCGGGGGACTGGGCCGGGGCCGTCCCAGGCGCACGCAGGCCACCGCTGCTGCACCGCGCGCAAGGATCGGCAAGCCGCGCACCAGAGGGCACTCCCGCCTGGGGTCTCACTCTTGCGTGTGGCAGACGAGGAGATTGCCAAATTCACCGACGCCGCGATGTCGCAGATGAGCGGTGAGCAGGCGCGGGCGCTCGGACAGGCCGCCTGAGCGCCACGAGGCGCGTCCCCGTCGCGAGGTCGCCCCGCGCCGGGCGGAGCACGGCCGAGGGCGCGCTGGCAGCGGGCAAAAAACATACGCGGAGCTCACTTTTAGTGCTCTGCACCGGGGTGTGCGCGGGCACTTGTGGCTCGGCATGTGCGGACATGTTCCTGGCATGTGCCCGGAAGATGTGCAGCCAGTTTCCCACGGACGCGCAGTAGTCGATCGACGTGTGCATCGGGGTTAGGGGCATTGAGTGTTTCACAAGTGTTCTTGTCCAGATCTCGCCCAGTGGTTGATGTTTGTGGATTTGCGGGCATGTGCGGAGGCACGCGCTTTATGTTTCTCATCTTCCACTTCCTCCCCATCCCTTATTCTCTTCCCCCCCTCTCCTCCCGTCTCTTCGTTCTCCCCTTTTCCTCCTCATCCTCCTCTTCGTCTCTCCTCCCTCTCCTCATCCTCCTCCTCCCTTTTCCTTTTCCTCCTTGCAGCTCTGGTCCTCCTGGGGACGTTCTCGGATTTTCGAACCGCCACCTGGCGGCGTGCCGCGCTCAAAGAGGCTGCGCGAGGCGGGCAACTTTCTGAGAAGACCGGGGGCTTCTTAGAAACAATCCTGGCCTTAGGCATTTCTTGGAAGCGCTCTTCGGGAGGGCCTAGGACGAGGATAGGTCCGTTCCAGAGCGTTCCAGAACGCCCTCAGCGCGTTCCAGAACGCTCTGAGAAGGCCGCGGCGCCCGAGACATTCTCCAGAACCGCTGGATCTCAGAGATTGCCGATGTATCTTCACCCGATGTTATCCTCGTCCTGGCTGCGTCTTCGCTCCTGGCTTCTAAGAAGCCTTTTTGAACCCTGTTCGCCCTTTGGGGGGTCCGCCCTCGAGGACCCCCCCGCCTTCTCAGCAGGCCGCCCCCACATGCGCCATCCCCTTTGTGGGCGTTGCGCCAGGCCAACAACAGCAAGAAGAACCACAAAACTCGGAGCGAAGGAACGGTCCTAGGGAAGGGGTCGCGAGCTCCTGGGCCCGCACATGAGCGGCACAAAAAAACGAGGTCGTCTTCGCCGACATTGGCTCGTTGTTTCCACGCGTAAGGTCGCGCGTAAGCGCCCTCGTCCCCAATGTAGCGTGCCGCGCGGGCGGCCCGCGTAAGCCACCGCGTAAGGTCGTTACGTCATCTCGCGTAAGACTCATGTTTGATCGTCGCTCACATGGAAAAGTATCGAATGGCCTTCGGCCCATCCCGCCACCCTGCCTGGGTTGTGGGTATGAAGTCTATTGGATGGTCGTTGGGATCTCGTGGCAGGCATCTCAGGGCCTCTTGGAGGCAGTTTGGAAGCCTCTCGGGGGCCGTTTGGGGCCTCTTTTGGGCCTCTTGGGAGCCTCTCGGGGCCTCTCGGGGGCCTGAGGGAATGGGTCGCAAGCTCCTGGGCCCACACATGGAAAAAAATGCTCGAGTGGTTTACGCCATTCTGCCGACCCCCCAGGAGGAGCGAGTGCTTGGGACGACCTTGGAAGTGATCTTGTGGGCGAGGAGCTTCGCGGATACATGTGAGGGGCTCGCGGGATGACTCTCGGGGGCCTCTTGGAGGGCTCTTGGGGGCCTTCTTGGGGGGTCTCTTGGGGGCCTCTTGGAGGCCTCTTGGGAGCTTCTTGGGTGGCTCGCGAGCTCCTGGGCCCGCGCACGGAAAAATAGCGCCACGGGGGTCCAGGAGCCCAGGTCACCCGCGGGGGTCGCGTGGAGGTCCTCGCGCCACGCGGGCCGCCCCGATGCCAGGCGAGCGGCGCGAGGGCCCGGAGAGGGCCGCGCCGCGCGCGGGCCGCGCCGCGCGCCGCGGAGCTCAGGCGATCGCAAACACGGATCAAGGGGGCGTGGATTAGCGACGGGTCCCGTCTCCCCGCGGAATCGCGGATTTCCGCCGCCGAGCGAGGCGGCACCGGCCGCATTTTGGCGAGGGCACCTCCCTCGATCCATGGATTTGGCGACCGCGCGCCAAATCCATGAATCGCTAATCCATGTTTGCGCGCCCCCGAGGAGCGCGAAGGTGGGTAAGCCCCAGGCCGGGGCGTCGCCCAAACAAATCGCGACGCCCGGCTTCTCTGCGCTTTCGGTTTCTGGAGGCCGCTCGCCGTCCGTGGGGCTCTTCAAAGGCGACTCGGGATGCCCCCTGGGAAGCGGTCGAGGTCTTCGGGGGCCCGCGTCGCAAAAGAAATGCGACGGCGACAGTGATCGTCGGACCTTCGTTCGCAATCCCGCCGCGGAGAGGTCGCAAGGTGGGGGGGTGAGCACGAGTCAGTGGCCCAGATGGGGGAGCACCAGTCTCAGGAAGGAAAGACAGACACAGACACAAATAATCGCGGATCTCCACAAACAGATGCTGAAATACTGGAGATGGTGGGGAAGACGAGGATCAATAAATATTGACAACATTGGGAATCCTGGGAATCCTGAGGGGGGGGGCGCACTAGTCAGGGGCCTTGGGGGCACGCCCACGCGGTTCTGTCAGGAAGCTCGGTCTCTAAAGTTGGGCACCAGCAGCGTCTTAACGATCTGCGGCGCTCCAAGAATCGTAGAAGCAAGAACCGCACAGACATAGATTACTGTCGGCGCTCCGCGCTGATTCCTTGGATCGGCGCTGGGGCTCCCCTGGCGGCGCCTTTGGTGCCGCCCCTGGCGCGCTCCGCGCGCCAAGGAGGGGGGTCCAGCGCCGATCCAAGACATCCGCGCAGACCACCAAAAGTTTGCCTGTGTGCGCCGTCCCCCTTCCTCGAGAGAAGATTGGGCCCGATCGTCCAGGAATCCCAGGGCCAGCGTCTCTCCCCCGCCCGGCCCGAGGCCGGCCCGGCGGAGGCAGAGTCCCGGGCCGCCGAGAGGGATCAGCCCGTGCGCGCCCAGCATGTCCAGAGGCGGACAGATCTAGGGGTAGTTCCCACATGGGAGGCACAAGCCACAAGGGTTTGCGTGTGTATTCGCAGCCAAGGCGACGATCGCTGGCTTGAGTGCCTCTTCCGTTCCCCCCCCTCTCCCCCCCTGTCCCGCTCATGTCCCCTCCCTCTGCGAACGTTTTGGCTCACACAGATATGCATGTGTCTATATAGACAGACAAACAGACAGACAGACAGACAGACAGACAGACATATATATATATATACATATATATATATACATACATATATATATATATATATGCTACCGATACGTATGCAGAATATGTCAATGCGCCGTATGGGCGCCAGGCTTGACCGATTGATTGGCACAGGTTCATCTAACTATCTTGCGCTTTCGCCTGAGGGACCTGGATCCGAACTTCTCCAAGGGGTGCTCCTGAGCATGAGCGTCGGATTCGGAGTGCAGTCTGACCAGCGTGCTCGACGGAGCGTGCACCTGCGCCCTACCCCTCGCGCAGACGACGAACCCGCCTTCCCAGCAGGGCGCCTCCTTTGGATTTTTGAGCTCTGGCGTAGGTTCGGGGGGCAGTTCAACAGATCCCTTCCACAGGCGCTCCCCCAATCCCCCCCGCGCGGCCAGCCCATCCACTCGCACCCGCGGAGAGCACTGCCGTCTGCTAGGCATGTGCAGCGATCTCATCATCAGCGTGTACGTGAAGGACTGGGAATGGGGGAGAGCCGTGTGAGGAATTGGGCCTAGAGTGGCAACATGAGCCGGAGGCAAGGAGGAGAGCCCTGTACAGATCATAAAGGCACGATTGCTGACCATGTTTTACTTCGACCTCGTTCACATCTCCAGAGGAGGCGCGTGAGTTGGAAGTGGGAGGGGAGGAGGAGGGGGTGTCGCGAATGAGGGGTAGGAGGAGCGGGAGGAGGAATAGAAGGTGGAGGAGGACGAGGAGGAGGAGGAGGAGGAGGAGGAGGAGGGGTAGGAGGAGGAGGAGGAGGAGCAGCAGCAGGAGAGGCCAGAGCGGGGCTTGGATTAAGACGACGACGCACGTGCTTCTGCATTTTGGGGGGCGGCCTTGCTCTAGAGGCTCTCGTGACCAGCGCAGTCGAGCCTGGGTCGGGGGAAGGTGCGCCGTGAAGGCGTCTGGCGCGTGGGGACCGTCGATCAGTTCGTGGGAAGGGACGGCCGGTGGCCGTTTTTTAATTCATTGTTTCGCCGATCGGCGCGGGCGCACCCCCCCCCCGCATAGACCAGATCCTGACTGCTTTGGGCGGCTGCTCTTGGCGACTGGTCAGGACCCCTTCCCCCCAGTCTGCTTGCGCGACTGGTAGAGGCAGATCGGCCAGGCACCGGCCCAGACCCAGACCCCCCCTCTCTCTCCCCCATCCTTCGGCCGAGTGCCGAAGCCCAGAATACTTACTCGGCGCGGAGATCCCAAGATGTGCATCCCATACCCCATCACGTTTCGCTGAGGTACTCTGTCGATGATTATCTGGGTGCGAGAGCGAGTTCGCGTAGCCGACAGGCGCGGCAATGACGACGACGACGACGACAGCGACGATTTCAGTGACGTCCTCCTCCTCCGGACATCTTGCAGGCGAGACGAGGGCAACACAGTTGGAATAGCGAGGGGGGCTCCCTGTGTTGTTCTCCCCGCGGCAACTCAGGCAAGCGCGCATGGCGTTGCTACGCCCACTCTCTGGCGTCGTATTCGCGGCGCCAGCTGGCACTTGGGATGCCCAAGTGCCACGCCAGCTATCTTGTTGTAGCCATGTGTGTGAGCTTTTCTGCGAGTGAATCTGAGCGTGGGTGATCTGATTGTGAGCGAGTCGGGGTATGAGTGGATCAACGAACGATCGAGCTTGAGTGTGAGCGAGTCTGGTTATAGCCAGTGCGAGTACGAGCGGGCTTGAGTATGATCGAATGTGAATGCGAGCGAGTCTACGTTCGACTGGGTCTGAATGCGAATGAGTCTGATCGTGGGCGACTCCGAATTTGAGTGAAAGTTGGAAATTCGAGTATGGGTGAGCTTGGCTGGGAGGTAATCTGACTATGACTGAGCCTTAGGACTGGCGAGTCTGAGCGCGAGTGAGTCTGAGTGTGAGTTGGCTTGGGTGTGGGGCGAGTCTGACTTCGAGCGATTCTAAGTACGAACGAACAAGTATATGCGAGTCTCGGTATGATCGAATAGGAGCAAAAGCGAAGCTGAATGTGGCAAGCAGGCCTCAGTTAAGAAGAGGCGTAGATGACGAAATCCGCGTGCGAATAGTTGCGCCAGCGTGGGGGGGGAAAGTGAAGGAGGTGAGCGAGGGAGTGAGTGGGGAGCACACAAACCCACTGAAGAGCTTGAGGGAACATAGGCAAACCGCCTGAATCATCCCCACAGTCTGAGCGCGAAGAATCCTGAAGTGTCCCCACCCCTGGCGGTTCCACGCCGGGGTGCCCAAGTGCCACGCCTCCTATATCACGTTGAACACTGGATCACAGCAAAAAAATCTGGGGGGTGAGCCGCCTGAAGCATCCCCCCAATCTGACCGCGAGTCCTGGGGTCTCCCCACCCCTAGCGGCCTGTTTTAGGAGTGCTGAAAACAGCGCCTGACCTGAGACATCATCAGGATTTGTTCCGAAAGCAGGGATGTTACGGTGCGAAGCAGGCAAGCCGCTTGAGACATCCCCACAATTTGGGCAAGGAGTGTTGGAAACAGCGTTTCGCCCGAGACATCTTCAGGATCTGCTCCAAAAGCAGGGGATGCTACGGCCCGAGACACGCAAGCCGCCTGCACTATCCCACAAATGCAACGCGATTCCTAGAGTATGCCAACCCCTGACGCCTCCCCATTCAGAGTGTTGAAACCAGCGTTTCGTTTGAGACATCCTCAGAATTTGCTCCAGAAGCAGAGGATGTTGGGCACGCAAACACGCAAGCCATGGCAAACCGTTTGACAAATCCCCACAATCTGGGCGCGAGTCCTGAAGTGTCCCCACCCCCGGCGCCCCTCTTGAGGAGTTTTAAAACAAGCGCTTCGTTTGAGACATCCTCAGAATCTGTTCCGAAAGCAGAGGGTGTTGGGCTGCAAACAGGCAAACCGTCTGCGACATCCCCACAATTTGGGCGCGAATCCTGAAGTGTCCCCACCCCCAGCGCCCCTCCTGTGTGGGGTGCCCAAATGCCACGCCTGCCATAGAGTCGGAGTCTTCGCATGAGATGAGCATGAGTGTGAGTGAGTCTGAGCGTAAATGAACTGAGTCCGAGAGCGAGCGAGTCTGAGTGCGAGCGAGTCTGAGTATGAGCGAGTCTGGGTATGAGCGACTCAAAGTGCGAGTGAGTTTGATTGTGAGTGAGTGGGTCATAGTACGAATGAGTCTGAGTGTGAGTGAGTCCGAGTGTGAGTGAGTCTGAGTATGACTGAGTACGAATGAGTATGAGTGTGAGTGCTTCATTCTGATTGAGGAAGAGGAGGAGGAGGAGGAGGAGGAGGAGGAGGAAGAGGAGGAGGTGAGGAGGAGGAGGAGGAGGGTTTGTTCTCGGAGCCATCAGAGTAATAGCAAGAACCTCTTCTTAGGAGATGGGGAAAAATTGACTACCTCGATTTGACGTCGGGGGCAGCGAGAGAGGAGATGGAGCAAGAGGCAGCGAGCGAGTGGCGGCAGGTGCGCCGGGCATCCGGCGACGGGCCTCCTGCACGCCCCTCGAGCTGCAGAGGTCCTTCTCTCCCGGAAGGCGGCGCGAGGGCGCGACGTCGCCGCGAGGATGGCCGCGCAGCCCGCGGGGGCGCGAGGCGCGGAGCTGAAGCCAGATGGCCCGGGTGGGTCCGCCCCCTCCGACGCGCGACGCTCAGAGCTCCTGACGGGCCCGACGAGAGGCCAGGAAAGGGCAGGGGGGGGCGGGGTACGAAGTCTGCTGCATGCAGCTGGTTTCCGCCCCGCCGCCAAGCCCGTTCCTCGACGCATGGGCGCCTCCGGGCGCCAGGAAAACTAGCTCACGTGAGTTGATTATATATCCTGCCCTTTGCTATCCTGCCCTTTCGCCGGTCTTGGCCTCCTCAACCGAGAGACCCGCCTTCCATTCCGATCAGCTTTTCTGGTGGCACCGGGGCCCCCATCGCGGACATCTGGAGGGCCGAGCTTGGAGAAAAGCGCCTCGGACACCCGATGCCTTGATTGTTTCACCGCGTGGCCCCCAGAAGTCTCGGCCCTTTCCCTAGGTCACTCCCAGCCCAAATCGTTGGATACCACATATTTTTCGGTCGCGATCGGTGGCGACCGATCGGCACGCCAAATCGGTCGCGACCGATACCGAAATTTGAAACAAAATCGGTAGCGACCGATCTCGTCGGTCGCGACTGGAAAATTCCGGCATCCAAGGACCAGGGATCCTTGGGAGGGGCGCGAAGGGTATCGCGCTTCGCGCACCGCGGCTTGGGTTGGACAGGCGCCCTCCTGCAGGGCGGGCGGCGAAAGGGCGCGAGGGCGCGAAGGAAAGCGCATATCGCGGGATACGATGCGCGAAGTTAGGTGGCCTTGCTCCCCCCGGGACCGTCTTTTCATCCTAAGCTGTTTTTGTTGACGGCCCCAGGGCCATGGCGAAAAAAGTGACGCCCTTATTTCAAGGGCTTATAAAACGCCCCTACCCTTGTTTACGAGGCGCTGTGTGCTGAACCTCCTGTGTGCTGAACCTCCTGTGGGCGTTTGCTCCATACTTTTCCAAAGAAAACCGCCCAGGCCACGCCAGGCCAACCCCAGTTCACCGACAGGCCGCCGAACCCTTGCTATTGAGCTCCCCGACGCCCCCGTGAGCCTTAACAGCTGACAGGGTAGACGCTGCGTATCGTGCGTGTCGCGCGGCGTCCTGGCGGCTCTCTGGCCTTTAAGAGCTCCCAGGAGGTTTACAGGCCACACGCTTGTAACCCAGGGTAAAGGCGTTTGCCATCCCTCAACAAGTGTTTCTGTTCACGACGCGAGCTTGTCTAGGCATCGGGGCACGTGCTCAGAGGAGCACGGGGTCATGAGAATGACGCGATCCAGGATTTCTGGGAGGTCCGAGATCCCCTGATGCTCCAAAGGGGCTGCAGAAGCGAGGGCCGTTGGATGCTCTGGAAATCCTGAGGCGCATCCTGAGCCAATCTTAAGTCGAGCATGTCCCTCTACAGGAGGAATATTCAAAAATAGTCAACGAGTTTTCGACTATTGTTTGACTAGTTGGGAGCATGTTTGGGGTATGTTTATTTTTTCGTCCCAAATGCGCCTGTAGGGGGACACGCCCGACCTAAAGCCAATCGTATCATGACATCATTCCCATCATATTAATCGGCGGCGAGCCCGGATAGGAAGTGAGAGGGGGCGGGCCTTCTCAGAAGGCTCGGAATTCCCCCGGCCTTCTGAGAAGTTTCCTAAGCCTCCCCCGAAGGCACCGAAAATGTTCCAGAAGGTCAGAGGGGCTTCTGAGACGCCCCGCCGCCTTCCGAGAAGGCCTTTATCCTTCTCGCTTCCCCCCCTTGCTCGCCGCCGAATCGTGACGTCATCCCCGTGCTAGCTCGGGCGCGCGCACACTCTGCCGCCCCGCCCCCTGGCAGGGCTTCACCTGGAGCGGCGGTTTCGCCAGGCGGCCCCGGCGCGCTCTCTCTGCCCTGCTCCCTCGCGGCCCTCCGGGCCCGCGCCTCCCAGCGCCCGCGGCTGCCGTCGCCGACCGCTCCTCGGAGGCGGGCAGGTGGCCAGAGAGACGTGCATGCGAGAGCATCCAGGCGCCTGGTTTCAGGAGGGAAAGAAACACACAGACACAATTAATCCTCGATTCCCCAGAAAATATAAGAAAATATGGGGAGTGGGCGGGAAGACAGAAACCCAGAAAATATGGGAAAATATTGGAAATCGTTTTATTTGTGCGTGTATTTATTTGTGTGTCCTGGGGCCCCTTCATGGTTGCGAGCAGGGCTCGAGCTGAACGGTGGCTTCGCAATTTCGTGGACCGCTGTCGTGTCGATCTCGTTTTCCAGCAACAGGCAGAACGAAGACAGAGCGAGGGAGAACGAAAATACTGCGAACACGGAAAGCATTGGTTAGCTCGAGCCCTGATTTCGAGTATGAAAAATGTTTGCAGGAGAGCGCGTGAACAGACATCGAAGAACACGAAAGACGGGTCAGATCATTTTCCCACAACCGACCACAAAAAGAAAGTTATAGCTGCCGAGTGCGACGGCTGTGGTCCTTTGCAAAGGGGGCTCTTAAACATGTGCGCAGCA